CTAGTAGCGTCCTTGCTCCTAGTAGTACGGCCAGGAGTCCCTAGTAGCGTCCATGCTCCTACCCGCTGATCATGGTGTCTCGCTTCGAGAAAAGGAAGGCTAGAGAGAACATCTCTGCTGCATTCTGCTGCGAGGTTGCTGTTTGCAGCTCCAACGATTAGCGCACGGCAGGGGACAAGAGTCGGGGGTCTGCCTTGTGCAACTCACGACTGTATAGAACTTCCGGCCTTGCATCTTGGAGACCTAGACCATTGATCAATATTGAACACTAACACCGGAGTGCAACCGTTCCGCACACAAAGGACGGAGAACATTCCGCCACTGCACGCAACACTACAATACTGTACCGCAAAAGCTCTGAAGCTCGAAGCTTTCTATACAAAAAACCTGAATAGTTTTATATATTGAAAGGGTGTGTCTTGATCTTTCTTTCTAATGGGCTTCCTCCTCTGCCCAGGTGCGCCGTGCCATAGCGTTCCCAAAGCCATCTTCGATCCGCTTCATTCAGCGTTGGGTCGAGCACAAACGTCTCAGGTCCGTCCACCAGGTGGAGGCAGCGAAGGAAGGAAGATCAGGTTTCAGTTATTCCTTTAAGGACAAACCCGGGGGGCCATTAGGCTGGAGGCGATTGCTATATTAGGTTGGAGGCTATCGCTATTATATTGGAGGCAATCGCTTTAAAGATTGGAGGCCATTGCTATTGGGTTGGAGGGCATCGCTACCAGGTTGGAGCCCATTGCTATCAGTTGGAGGCCATCGCTATTCATTTCAAGCAGTGAGATCAATGTACTTCTGACTTCGTGGCACAGGGTGGAACATTGGGACAAAAGGGAGATCACCAATGCAATTATGATGATGACCCACAGCGGTGTGGACAACGGTGCTGCAGCATGCGGCATATGCATATGCATTGGGATAGCTGTGGTTAGTTGCAATTCTTGCTCTGATTGGAGTGACCATTTGGCAATATGTGAATCAAAAACCCAAGCGCCGGTTTCAGCAGCAGCAACAAAACGTAGGTTGGTAGCATGGACAGCCAACCTTCCAAACAAGTCTCTTGAGATCTCTTGCGAAACAAGTTCCTCGAGGTTGGTGGGAACAAAGGAACAAGAAGCGCCTGTTCTAGTTGACCGGACAGGGTAAAACCTTCTTGCACAGCAAGACGCCTACAAGAGGCTGTTCAAGAAGTATCTCCATGAACCGGGAACACAGGCGGAATGCGGCCCCAAGCCAGTTTCGGATGTTAACCTTGACCTACACATCTTGCAAAGAGGGAGTCCACACTTCTCACTTCCCATGCTCCTTCCCTTCGCTCCCACGCGCTCCTCATGCCAGCAACCGATCGCAATCCAAGGCACTGACAGCAAGTTGCCCAACAGTAGTGCTCCAATGGTCATCATCAACCCTAATAGCACCTCATGTGGAGACACGCTCTTGAGTCTGGCCCCTGTCCGAACACCATTTGGACATTGGTTTGTCTTTCCACTATCTCGGTTCCTATTGGTCCTATTGGTCCCAGCCGGGAAAACATGTGGTAAGTGGCAAGTGGCTAATCTTCTTGGCATCCCCTCTCAGTCATCATGCTTCTTCCTCAAAGCCCGGGAAGAGCGTGAGCCCTGCTTGTCCCTCAAAGCATGGCTGAGTTGTGGCTTTGGGGATAACGTATCTCCTGCTCAGCTTAGCCAATCAACAATAATGAATCAACCAACCTCATAAACCAAGCACCATCCTTGCACGTTGTCAAAAAAATGGATTGATTGTCTAGATGGTATGTATATACAAACTCCAAATGGGTACATATCCATCCACAGCAAAAGTGGCTGCTGGGGTTTTAGTTTCATTCCTGACTGGCAGGCACCCGTTTCTTCCTCCGCAAGATTGGCTAAATGCACTTGCTGAAATTGAAACAAACAACTCCAAGAAACACCTGGCAACTCAGGAACTTCAACACGACCTATGCCTACGGCAAGCCAAGAAGTTCCATGCAAACGAAGTTCTTGCAAACCTAGGAGCCTAGGGCCCCCCCATCTGAATCTGATCACTGCTTTGATATGGAAAATGCAGGTATGCACCAATAATTACTGTAAGCATTCTCCCAAGTAATTCCTCTTGATTCAGATTGTATAAACAACTTTGCTCACTTTGCTCGGACTGTCACCAGTCTACTCTGGCACCCTTTGCTCAGAGGCTCAGAACACATCGAGAGTCGACAGGGTCAGTCACATTCGTCATTCGTCTCAGGACCGCACCATGGACCAGCACAATGATGGAAGGAAGCACTGACAGGCTTTCACCAGTAGTCGAAGGCCACGCAAGAAGCGAAGGCTACGGGCCATCCGTATTGCTCTCAAAGATTTCAGGACTCTCATCCTGGGCAGGTATGTGCCAGTCAGTCGCACCTAGGGCTATCTTCCATAGCACAGGCCTTTTCTGCCGAAACATGCAATCGTTTGGAAAGCATCCCGTCGCTTTGTCTTGGGTTCCTGGCTGGACACTCATTTTGATCATGAATGTCTCTGGAGTTGGTTGAAGGAAAGCGGCTGCCAAATGTGGATCCAAGTTCAAGAGCCTAGTTTGGGGGATATTTCTGAATAATCTGAATCAGGGTCGTCTTGGTGTTTGGACCTTCGTGGCCAACAACACGCCACATGTGACCTAGCAATTCTGGCCAAATGATCCAAAGGTAGAATTGGGAGTTGGTGTCTGCTTCACCCTGACTTTGTTAGTAGGGGGTCTGCGCAAGCATTGTGCAGACTTTACACGATTAAATTATGTGACATTGAAGTTCTGCCTGGTTCGAACGTTGTATCTCTGATACAGTCACGTGCCTGAGTGACCGCCCTCAAAACGCAAGGAACAAGGCACAGCAAATGCTCGGATGCATGGCCTTTTACGCAAAGGGAAACGGCTCTTGGTACCTGTACGGCAGCGGCGGAAGGGAACGACCTGACGAACCAAGGCATGCATGAGTGGATTTTCACACTCCCAACTTTCTGTTTGGTTCGTCATGCTTCCGCAGTTGAATTCGTGGAAACTGCAGCCAACTCAAAAGTGTCTCTTGCAAGGCACGGCTGATCTTCGTCAAGCAATCACTCATCTGGAGTGTGGTGGGTACCCAGTGTACCGTCCTTGCTCACTTCCTGCATGCTGCGGATGTTCACGAGTGAACGACGATCTTCACAGTTCGGATTCGGTGCCGAGATGCAATCGTAAAGTGATTTGCAATCGGTCACCAACAGCATTCGGAGCACTTTGCCCACTCTATGGGCTGGAGTCTGAAAAACAAGTTCGGCCAGGCTGTACTGAGCAAAAACCAGTCGATCTGAACAGCTGTCTGCGGCTACACTTTCTGCCGCAAGAGTGCTGCGACAAACACGTCGGCTTCTGGAACTTTTCCAGTCAACTAAGGCTCCAACGGAAGTCTTCTCGCTGACCGAAGGTGGTGCCAAAAGGATTAAAGTTCCATGTTGACTCGCCGAATTCTTGGCGTTTGCCCATGAACTGTCGCTGAACCCGACGAGCGTTGTGCTCTCGTCGATGGGTATTCCATAAATCTTCAAACCCTTGTCTCTAGTGCTCTTAACGTAGAGCAAGGTGTCATTCAGCAACTCTAGCTCAGCACCTGTGGTTTCAGCACCTTTGTTTGACAAAGACACAGTGCTGGCGATATCAACCCTTGACTGACCAGCAAGCCATTGAAGGCATCCGCTGATGGATCTGTACTCTGGCCATTGGTGCTCTTCCAAAACTTTGCTCCGATCTGCTTTCTTCACAGGAATGCCTCGTTCTAGAGCATCGATGAAGCTCTTCTGAGTGATGCTCAAAATGGTTTCACCACTGGCATCCACTGAGATTTCCA